AGTAAGTCTCTTCTACTTCATTTTTATTTCAAGTCAGAGCACGTTGGCTCTGCCTTCACCAGTGCTGAGGGTGGGAGGAAAATGTGCAGGAGAGCACAGGGACCGGCATCAGGAGCAGCCAGAGCCCAAGCGCTGCCGGACACCGACTCCTTTTTTCTGAGCAAACTAAGGTCCTGGTCGTGAGGTCCGCAATTCCCCCCTGTGCATGGCAATCAGTGTGAGGAAGGAGCCCATCGGGAAGAAGAATCCCCTCGAAAGGGCAGGGGAGACAAATTGCCCCCCCCTTTCCCCTTTACCTCCCCCCCAACTCCCTCCCCTGCCCCGTGCTCCCAGGGGGAAGCTCATCACTGTTCAGCCCAGCTGCAGGCAACCTGCAGGGCAAGCTGTGCCAGGAGGCCCCAGGTGTGGATACGGTATCTGCACCCCCACGTGCGGGTTTCGGCTCTGCGCAGCTGAGACCACCCTCCCCAGGAGCCACACAGCGCAGCTATTACCAGGGAAATGCAGCCTCCCCTGCCCGCGGCACGGAGGGGAACACTGGGGACTAAAGAGACCCGCTGGGCCATGGCCAGCCTCTGCTCACAGCTCCACCAAGGAAAGCCTTCCTCCGTCGCGCTGGAAGTTAGCGTAACTCAGCCCTGCCCTGGGCCAGGGACGTGCCAAGAACACAGGACCTCGCTGGCACTGCAAACCGAGCCCCGCTACTGCTCCAGTCAGAGAGCAAAGGCCATGGGAACAACAAACACAGGCTTCACTAACCACTAGGGCTCTTCTCCAAAGAGAAGAGCGATACAACACACTGCCTGGGACATCAAGGACAGTCAAGAGTCAGCAGGGAGAGAGCATGTGAGCCCCGGACAAGGTCATGTTCCCAGGGCAGTCCCAGTCCCACCAGCTTGGACATCCCTCCGGCTCAGCAGCGGTCCCTCTTCCAGCGAGGGCTGCAGGTCCCAGGGAAGGCAGGTGAGGTCGCTAGAGCCCTTACTGCATCTCACGCCGTCCGCCCAAGGGCTCAGCTGGCTCATCCGGACTGTCCGAGTGCGCATCGTCCATGCCAAAGTCGCTCCAGTATGGGAAGGTCTCCAGGCAGCTCGGACCCTGCGGGCTTCCCAGGCCGGCACAGCTAGAAAGAGAGAACGGGTCAGAGCAGAGAAGGGACTGGGGGAAGATGCAGGGCCCAAGGTGCCCGGCACGTCTCTAAGTCAGCCGCTGCCTCCTTGGCGCAGCAAAGGCTGCTTCCCCTCCGCACAGCCCCGCCGGAGCCCTCCGCTTCCAGCCGGCTCAGCCGCAGAAGCGGCCGCTCACCCTCGCACGCAAGCCCAGAGCAGGCAGGGAGGGACCTGCCACCAGCGAGAGGCAGACAGCGCTGCCCGCTGAGAGGGACACAGAAAGCCGCACTGCCTGGGTACCCACCCATCAGCCTGGGCTGCTGCGCTCCCCCAAACCCCTTCCTTAAACCAGAAGGGCTCTATTTAAAAACAGGCCTCTCGCTAGAGTCCAGACACATCTTTCTTCCTGCTATTTGAAAACCAAGATGAAGAAACATGGGCACTGGGTGGTGCAGAAGAGCCAGACACGGTAAATCTCTCATTTGAGGGGCAGGGGGACCCCGAGGGTCTCTGCCAGGCAGGCAGAGCCAGGGACCCCACGCCTGCCGCAGGACACAAGCACGCAGGTGATTTCTGTGCTTGTTCAGCTTCTTGCAGGGAGCTGCAGCAGTGGCAGATTGAGGATGCCCTCCTCTCCCACCAGAAAATCCTCATCTGGCTGCAGCAGGGGGTGGGCAGCCACCCCACAGGGACATGCCCGATTAATTCCGCAGCATGCAGCAAGCGCTCTGAAGCTCTGATGGGCAGGAGGAATTGCAGAACCCACTCATGCTGCGAGGACGAAGGCAAAACGCACAGAAAGCCTGAGCTTTGAAAGCCTCCAAAGGCTCCTCGCTCCCCAGAGATTAAGGGAGGAAAGCAGCCAAAGACCTTTGTAAATCTCAGCTTAAGTTCTTCTGAGAGATTCGAGCTCTTTTCTGCTAAGCCTTGGCCACAGCCAGGACAGGTCACCCTCCCCGACAGCCTGGAGGGCGGCACAGGAGACTGCTGGTGCAGCCCAAGGTGTGCAGCTCCGATGCCCGACCATCCTGCCTTTGCGGGGCTGGGGAACACGCTCAGCTCGATTCCCTGAAAGAACTGTAGCAAGGACAGGACAGGGAAATTCAAAAATATTCAGGGGCCTCTAGAAAGCCTGGCAGCTCCTCTTATTTCACAGCAGAGGCTGTTTGCTCCGGTGAAAGTCCCTTGCACAGGCACCAACCACTTCAAATTGGGCTGTAGCCAGACCCACAGCAGCACAAGGGGAGGTGCAGGCACAGCAAGGGAGCTGGGGGCTTCCCTTCCCTGCCCACGTTACCTGCCATGCAGGTCCCCTCCTGGCAGCAGCGCAGGGCGGCTCTCTTCCTCCTGCACCCAGCCGCAGTTGGACATGGCGTAATGCAGGATGGCTTCTGTTACTGTCTGCGAGCCCTGGCCTTGCACGCACGCCTCTATCTCGGGTATCGAGAGCTGGCTCTGCAGGAAAAGGTGCAGCCGGCTGTCGGAGAGGAGGACCACGTTCTGCACAACCCTGTGCACAGAGAGAGGAGGGTGAGGCAGATGCCAAGGAGCACAGAGCACGCCGAGCCCTGCCCCACCAACGGTTCATGTGCCCCACACCACCAGGGTGACCATCAACAGCTCTGCTGCGACCACACAGCCAGCATCTTCTAAGGAAGACCGGAGCAGCGTGTCATCTCCCTCCATCCAGCCCTCAAAAATGCTCTACTCACTTCTCCAGGAACTGCTGGAGCCCCTGTCTCCGCTTCTCGATGAATTCATCCGTGCTGCCCACAAAGAAGGTGGATTTCCCGGGCAGCTCTGGGACAGGCCTGCAGGCAGAGAGCAGAGGCAGCGGGTCAGGGAAAAAAGATCACAGCAGCCAGGACCCTGCTTTGTGCAGAGCTGGATCCCAGGAGCTCAGGCATTCCGTGTTCCTGTCGGGATTTCTATCCACATCTGTTCTGAGTTCACGTGGGTCTCCCAGGGCAGCGGGAAACAGCGTTTGGCTGCAGGAGGGGGGGGAGAACAAGGCATGCTTACACCAAGCCAGCATTCTTCTGGAGCTGCCTCCTCAGCCACACGAATTCACGGTACCGGCGCCGCACGCATGAGGTCTTGGCAGTAAAGGCCTTGCTGTTAGTCTGCAAAAAAAACCAAGCAAAAAACCACTATGAAAATAATCCATATGATTGAGGGGCAGCAAGGCAGAGAGGGGCAGGATCTTGCCTGCACAGACCCCTGAGCTCAGCGATCAGGGGATCCTCTTGAAGCACAGGGCTTTGGGGAGCACTGCGGGAGCTGAAAGTGCCTAGAGAACCTGAACAGAAGTTGGGTCTCAGACCCACACGGAGACAGTGCAGAGAGAGGGACGGGCTGCCGGGCTGCTTCATGGCTCCTTCCAACCCTGCTCAGCACAGCTGGACATGGCCAGAGAACTCTGCTGATGAGCCTCACGTACAGCACGATCGAGCTCTGCAGCTCACCCCTCTCCCTCAACCCCAACTCACGTGGAGGAAGATTTTATAATCCACATAGGAGTTCCAGGAGCCTTCGTTCTGCACTCGGGGGTCCTGAACACGCACCGTGGTCAGCTCCTATGGCACAAACACTGCCTGAGCATGGGAAAGCAGCGCTCACTGCCCTGCGCAAGCGTCACCCACTCTGCAGAACTCAAAGGAGCTCCCCGGGACCCACGGCCACACCGGCTTGTC